AATTAATCAATATATGGCATTTTTATAAAATTTTTCTAACATATATTATTTATATATTAATATATAGAAATATATTTAAAATATATTTAAAATATATATTTAGATATATTTATTTTATGTATGTTGAAAATTTTTTTATTAATAATTTAAAATTCTTGTTCAAAAACAGTAAATATCTTAGCATATTTAATATAATTAGTTATATTTTGTTTCATGGAATTTCTAATAACTCATTTTTAGGAAAAGAAAAAAAGAAAAATGAATTAAAAAACTAATTTTACTGAATTCATTAATGAAAATGGCTTAAAAATAAAAAGTTTAATTATATATATAATTATATATATAAATTAAATGTTTTATATTTAGAAAACATGCCAACAAAGAAATAGATACTCGAGGTAGATCTGTGAAGACTAACAAAAATGACGATACCCAATGTGATATGTGTGGACAAACATTTGATTCAATTACTGCAACAATACGACATAGATTTAAAGTACATCCTAATTCACCAACAAAATTTTATTGTCATTATTGTGGGATGCAATTTCCTGTAAAAGTATGTTTTTATATATTTTGATATATAATATATTGTTTGTATTATATATAATATATGTATTTTTATGTATATATTTTGTATTTTCCTTTTAATTTTACAATTTATTTTTTTATTAGACACACAGAGATAATCATCAAACATCGCATGATTCATCTGAAAGTGAAAGGAAAGAACAACATAAAAAATGCGAAGACTGTGATGTATTGTTTTATAATGAAAAAGCTTTAGATTATCATTATCGTTCTATACATAAAAGGTTGTAAATTTTTTTACTAATACTAAATTTTTAAATATTTTTAATTTTCATCTAATTTTCATCTAATAATTTAATTTATAGAATGGTACATTTGTTTCAACCAATAGCAACACCACCTCCTAGCAATAAAATTAAATTGAATTCAATGAATGATGCTTTAAGTGTATATTACTGTCATTTGTGTGGTGTTGAATATATCATAAAATTCAATTTACAGCGTCATTTGGAAAGAGCACATACTCAAGTAAAGCAATATAAGTAAATATGATGTAAACAACTTATATTACACATGTATTATATTATCTTTTGAAATTAACAGGAAGAAAGGGAAGCTGTTCCAGAAGATTTAATAAAATGTACAGTATGTGCTGCTTTATTTTGTAGCAAAAAAGCATATGAAGTACATAATAATTATCATCAATCAGATGATTTATATGTAACATCAGAGGAACAAAGATTACAAACAGTAACTAAAGTAGACCAAGATTTTGATATTAGGCGTGTTGAAGGAGTTGCTGATAAATATGTCCCAAAAACTAATACTTCCAAAAGATCTGCTAAAAATTGGACAAAGGTATTGTATCAATTAAATTTTGTTTTTTTTTTATTTTGTATGTGCTGATCAAATTTACGAATTTAATAATTATATTAATAAAATTTGTTATTTTATAGCCTAAAAGAACACAGAAAGTAAAAGTAAAACAAAAAGATTATTCTTCTTCAGATGATGAACCTGGTGCTATTAATGAATCCAGTGATTCAGAAAGTGATCTTCCATTAAAACAAAGAATTTGCAGCTAACGGAGGTCTTTTATTGTTTATAAAATATTTCTATGTTTATACTTTTTAAATATTAAAATTATATCAAAATGATTGTCATTGTAAAATTATCACGTAAATTTTATTTTTAACTTCTATGCAAACATAATGTGATTGTAGATTATAATCTCTGTATTAGTATTTTTTATATTAATATATATACATATTTTTTTGTTTATTTAATTCACCTTTCTAGCAATTTTTCTCTTAACTATTAGTTTTCATGTTGTTATACAAAAAAACATAGATTTATAT